GAAAGTGTAAAGCATTCCAACAAAAGGTTTTACTGTAGACCTTTTTCACCCATGCTATTGATTGCTAAATGTAATAGTCTGATCATGACGCTGAATAAATGTGTCTTTTTTTTTAATGTACTGTGTAAAGTTAGTCTACTCTTGAATCCATCTTGGTAAACTTCCTCAACAGTGTGAAGTTAGAATTCCTTCAGGGTGATGCCAAGTTCCATTTGGAATTTATTTATGGTTGCTTGGGTGGAGAAGCCATTGTCTTCAAAAACCTTGGTGTTGTCAAACTGCCAGTTACTGTGTAACTTTTAATGAGTTTCACCATTGGAAGGGTCATCCAAGCAAGGTCACAATTTGGTTATAAAATAGTTGTTGGCAGACCCTATGCAATATCAAAATTGAATAATGGTATCAGATAAAATAACAGATGGGAATGAAGCTTGTGTATCATCCATTATCATGTGTACTCAATAAATGATTTAATTCTCAAAAAAATTAAACTCTAATTGGCCATAACCATGGATATGCAATATTTAAGTGTTCCACAATAATTAGGTTTCAGAGGCTAATGATGCCTCAGCAGTTAAAATCACTTACTGCTTTTCCAGAGAACCTTCAGCACATACCTGGCAGCTTGGAATTCTCTATAGTTCTAGTTCTAGGGGCTTGGATGACATTGGCCCTGTGGTACCTAGACATATTTGCAGGTAAAGTGCTCATGCACATAGATTAAAAAACAAATCAAAAAATGTTAAAGGATAAAAAGATACATCATATTTAACAATGTTTTAATCTATGCTATCCAAGTTGACTGTCTTGCTTAGAAAGGTCTTACTAGTACAGGAATATTAAACAGCAATATGTGATCACTTCAGTAACCCTCATGAGAATTTTGTTTAATTTTGGATCTTTCATTTGTCAGGAATATTAGTTTCATTAATGATAGATATATGAATGAATCTATTTCCACCCACACTGACGATATAACCAGTTCATGACTAACAGCCCTGTGATCTGCAGTAGCATATTTACTCATATGAACAATGCTCTCGAACTTACCATGGCTCAAAGTGCAAATAAATTTTTTGTGTATATGATAGCAATACTGAGGCAAACCCAGCCTCCTGCATGTAAGGCACTGATCTACATTTTTACTTCTAACATGTAAGTATTTTGACACATGGGTTGCAGAATAAAACACAGCCCCAGGAACGATGTTGGTTTTAATGTTTTAATCCTGTTTCTAGTGATATGATGTATAGGGGACTATCTCTTAGGAGGCCAGGGAGCAGCAGCAAGCCACCACCAAGGTAGCCTGGGGAAACACCCTAGAACTGCACAGTACACTGTGTCTCTGAGCTCTGCTGTCCATGAAGGTCGATGTGTCAGCTGCACTGTCAGCCTAGAACAGTTGAAATGTGCTGTGGGTTACTGGGACTCAGTCCTCTCATTCATTGAGGAATATCTGAACTGGCTTTCATTTCTCCCCATTCCTCTATTTACCCACTGTTATCCCTTGTTAATTGTGGTGCTTTTTTTTTTTTTATAATGCTTCAATGCATGCAGGCAGATGGACTTCCTATCCTTTTCCCAAGGAATATGCATTTTCAGCATAAACTCTAGTGCATGCTGTGCGTGTTGGGTGCTTCCCAGTGTGAAACCAGATGATTTTCCAAGACATGGACTTAATTCCTGAGACTACTGATTTTTCTACCAAACTGATGCACTATCAAGACGTTGATCATTACTCTGCTTTTACCAGACTTAGCCTTATATCCAATGAGAAATCAACCTTCTGATTTAGGGTCCAATTCCACCAGTGACACTGGATATATTTGAAGGCAGTAGGAGGGGGAATTAGAGAGCCAATTTTGGCTTCTGTTGGCATTGTTGTTTTCCTGGACCCTGTCAGCAGCCTACCCAACAGTTCTCTTCATTCTGTCTGCAGCTTGTTCTTTTTGTTCCAATTAGACTTTTGGGATTCCCTTGAGACTACTCCACACCACTGTTGAGACCTTTAGCTAAACATTTATCAATTAGAATGTGATATTTATTTCTTCCTGGGAGCAGTTTGTATTACTGTAGGCCCATTTAAAGCCTCTAGTATTTACAGTTTTCCTTAGGGAACTGTGCAATGGGCATAACTTAGTCCAATATCCAGCAAGTTATGGAACTGACCATCAACCATGCTTCTAGTGCTTGACAAACTAATAATATTAATGATTTAATAATTATGAATTTAATTAATTATGATAATTTAAAAATGTTCTGAATAAAGGGAATGATAAAGATCCTTGCTTCTAAATGTTTTTTGTATAGCCTATCTTAATTCAAATGCAGACATTAAAATATTGATTTATATATTTATTTGATCACTTGTACCTATTGGCCTACTCACACTATGCTATACCCTAAAGTTATATGCAAACATAATATTATCTCCAAGTTGATGATGAAGGTCTTACTATGTTGTGAAGTTAGAACAAAACTTATAATGATAGCTTTGGAGGGGGAAGTATATAAGAAACTCATAATAAGTTAGCAAAAGTTGCAGAAGCTAGATAATACTGAACATGCATTTTAACAAACATGGTAAGGAGTTTTAAGAAGATAATTGGAAAAATACTTTACTCAAAAGGTATGTACTTCCTACATAAAGAAAAACAAGATTTTCCATATGTTTGGGTGTTTTTTATTTATATGGCCATTTTACTTGGAAACACTCAGAAACTCAAGAAGCTCCTTAAACAACAAGATACTCAAGATGATATGAGGTCATTCAAAAAGGTAATCACAGGGCATGTAGGAAACAGAGCAACTAAAGAGCCCCCTATATTCTTTAAAACAGTATAAAAGAATGACGGTCACTCTAGGGTAGAAGACAGTGCAAGAAGTAAGAGTGGAATTGAAAGCTTGTACAAATCCCACAATCCATAAGAGGGCTGAGCCCTAATAAACCCACTGCAAATTTAAAGTATCACAGTGGCCAGTGCACGTGGTACACCTATGTTACTGAGCAAACTTGGTCAGCTATAGTGGAATACTGTGGAATTCTGGTGCTTTGTCTTCCATCTCACTGGGGATCTGGCTTGCTCCTTAAGTTGAGAAAAATCACATACTTACATCCAAAGTCTAGTTCATTTTAGTAAGTAGGTTCCCCACCCTCACAATGATATCCATATTTTATACTATGATTTCCTCACAACATGGATTATTTTACAAGCATTTCCTTAGTTTTGTCATTATGTACACTGGAACAAGCTCAGTGTTTAGAGGCTTAAATTACCCTTAGTTGATCTCCTCTTCATTTACCAGGAAATATTTGTATGTTGAACAGACAAAGAATCTCTTCTAGGATCAAATTTTGTATTTTGTGGGAATCTGAGAATCATTACCTAACAGCAGTATATACAAGAAAGAGAGGACTGAAAAATAGGCTAAGAGATTAGATAAGATGGTGGAACAGGTCTCAAACAAAAGCCTATAATTGTAGAAAACCAAAAGCTACATTTAAGAGGAACAGAGTTGGAAAGGAATCACTAAGGACACTCCAAAAGTGTTGGAAAATAAATTAACATATGAAATGATTTTATAAAACTATTAGAACCTCATTTGTGTGATCTGTTTTCGTAATGGTAGAAACAGATTAGGTGCAAACAAGAACATGGTGTCTTAGGGCTAATGTTGCTGTTGATGAAACACTATGACCACAACAACTTGAGAAGGACAGAGTTTATTTGGCTTATACTTCCAAATCACTGTTCATCATCAAAGGAAATCAGGACAGAAACTCAAACAGGGCAGGAACCTGGAGGCAGGGGATGATGCAGAAGCCATGGAGGGGTGTTTCTTAGTGGCTTGCTATCTATGGTTTGATCAGTCTTCTTTCGTATAGAACCCAGCAGTACCATTCCAGGAGAGATACAACCCACAGTGAGCTGGTCCACCAATCACTAATTAAGACAATTTCTTACAGGTGGATCTTATGGAAAAAAAATCTCAATTTTCTCAATTGAGATTGCCCCTTTTCAAGTAACTCTAGCTTTTGTCAAATTGACATAAAACTAGGCAGCACAACTGTTCCCTTTTCAGCTTGACATACAAACACATTATTGCTATCCACAACCTTTTGTTTCCTGTTCTTTACCAAAGATCATACATTAGTATTGACATTACAATATAAGCATTCCAAAATTTAAAATTCCCACCATTTAAAAAAATTCAAATGCTTAAAAATTCAGTATCTTCAAAGTCTTTTAAACATCTCTCAACTGTAGGCTTCTGTACAACCAAAAAGAAGTTAAATATTTTCTTACTTCAAGAGGTAAAAACCAGGCACAGTCACAATCTGAGTAAAGAACTCTAACTCTAAAGCGTAAATACCTCAATGTTCAGTTTTCTGGAAATGACTTATGATTGTCTCCTCCATGGTCTTTTGCAGTACATACAACTTATATTCCAGGCTCCACTCAACTTCCGCTGCTGTTCTTGGTGGTCATCCCATGTCAGGCATCTCCAAAACTGCTAAGGTCCCTTGCTGCAGCTGGACTGTAATTTTAAAAATATTTTCTTTGGATTCTCTTCAGGGGACTCCAGCCCTGCCACACTGTGTCAAGTCTCACCTGCTCTCCACAACTCCTTTATGCCTTCAAAACCAGTACCACCTGGGGGATTCTGAACTATCAAGTTCAGATGCAAGTACAATCTCGTCTGCTTCTGGAACATAGCTTCTATAAGCTGACTCTGAGGAAATTTCTCCCAAAGATTTCACTTGGTAATGCTGATGAGTTTTAATGAATCTTCAGCCCCAGCTGACCAGCAACTATTGCTCTTGCAAGGCAAAGGATTTACTTTGATTGTTCTGATCCTAGGTGATCCATCCTAGGTGATTCTTCAGCCTCAGCTGACCAGCAGCTATTGCTCCAGCCAAGTGAATGTTTCACTGGACTCTTGTTTATTCACAGCTATTTCTTCAACTCTAGTTGACCAGACACCACAGATTCTTTGCATAAATGGCCCAGTAGTATCTTCACTTCCCTTTCAAACTTCACAAGGTATGCTTCCACTCTGCATTGTTCTCGACATTTTCATCTTCCAGATTCCTATGGAACAGCAAACTGAACTCTCAATATTCAATGGTTCTTCTATCTTCTACCCAGAGCTCCAAAGTCTTTCTCACATCCTTTCCAATCAACATGGTAAGTTCTTTCTCAGCAATACTCCACTATCCTGGTACCAATTCATCTTAATTAGGTTTACTATTGCTGTGATGACACATCATGACCAAGCAACTTGAAGAAGACTGGCTTTATTTGACTTACCCTTCTATGTCATCATGTATCATCAAAGAAATTCAGGACAGGAACTCAAACAGGGTAGGAACCTGGATAAAGGAGTTGATATTCTGAGGACATGGAAGGGTACTGCTTTTTGTTTGTTTCTCTTGGCTTGCTCAGCCTGCTTTCTTATAGAATCCAAGACAGGCCAGGGATGGCACCATTTACTATGAGCTAGGCTGTTGACCATCAATCTCTAATTAAGAAAATACCTCATAGCCCGTTCCTTTGGAGACCTTTACTCAATTGAGGTTCTCCCCTTTTAAATAACTGTAGCTTGAGTCACGTTGACATAAAGCTAGCTAGCACAGATAGTGACTTAATTTTCCCCAGTTGCTGTGATAAAATTATGATCAAAAGGAACTTGGGTAGGAAATCTTATAGCTTATACCCTATCATGAAGGGAAGTCAGGGCAAGAACTCAATACAGGAACCTGTGGCAGGGGCTGAAGCGGAGGATATGGTGGAATGCTGCTTATTGGCTTCCTCTACATGGCTTGCTTAGTGTTCTTTATTGTATAAGCTAGGACAATTAGGGGGTGGCATGCTCATAGTGGGCTCAACTCTTTACATCTATAATTAATTGAGAAAATGTTCCACTGACTCTCATATAGGCCAATCTGATAAAGCCTTAATTGAAGTTCCCTCTTCTCAGATGATGTAGCTTGTGTCAAGTTGACAAACAAAACAAACAAGCGAATAAATCAACAAACAAACAAAAAACCTAACCAACAAAATTTGGATGACAACAAGAGTAATAAAGACCTGAAAAACTAAAACTAACCAATGAGATATTCTTAAAAGTATTTGGTTACTATCCTGTGCTTGACTTTATTCCAGCAAGCTGTAGTTATAGATGTCAAAGATAACTTGCTGATTACCTAGTAATTCTTATAATTAATTAAATGCAAAATTTATCTTCCATATCTTTATGATGTTTAACTTCTTTTATGCTCCTAAAAACATCTGATAAGATTTTTCTTATCAAGAACATATTACCCAATGTATCTTGAAGCTGTCCATCAGCTTAAGATCAAGCAGGGATCTCCTTGATCACAGCTTAAAGTTTAATAATCAGCACAGTGCTTATAAAGGGAAAAACTACAAAACTGATGTCCAGGGCAGGGTGTAACACAGGATAGCAAGAGCACGGCAGCCAATCTGGTAAATTTCCATTTCTCAGTATCCACTATTTCCAGTAAGTCAAATCTTGCAGCTGAGCCAAGGGAAATGTATCTGTCCAGGCTGTTAATGCCTGTGGTGGCAGATGTTCAAGGTTTGCTTAGCCTGTTCAGGCTGAAGAGGTCACAGTATCACAGGTGAGTTCAGTTTACTTTGAACACTTGCCATTGGCCAAGAAAAATATGTCAGGGAATATTTATACCTCAGCCGCCCATCAATTCCTGCTTCTCTTAACATTCATCAGAACTGGTTTTGCTTCATCATTTCATCTGCAAACTGTGAGTAGAACAGAACAGACTCAGATAATACCAAAGTTCTCCCTTTCTGCATAATATATGTACAGTCTGTGTATGGTGGTGCATGATTCTAATCCCAACACACTGGAAGAAGAAGAAAGTAGCTCTCAGTGAGTTCAAGATAAGCCTGGTTTCTATATTGAGTCTGATGATGGCCAGGGCTACATGAGGAGACTTTGTCACAGTATTTTTCTCACTGATGTTGTTTTCCTCCTTTTCTTGAGCTTCAGTGAAAAAATAATGTGACATATATTTATTTGCCTTCTCTTTTCATAACCATTTTTTTTTCTTCCATCACAAAAATCCTCTGATGTCCATTTGCAAAATGAACTTTCTTCACTTCCACTTTCCACCCATTTTAGAGAATGAAATTCTCCCCTCCCCCATCATCCTACCTCCTACTACCCTCTCTCATCTCTCCTTCTCTTTCTTTTTTCCTCTTCTCCCACATCTCTGTCTCCTCCTTTTCTTCTTTCTAATGAAGGACAGCCTATTGTAACTGAACACAATAAATAACAATGTAAATTTCCTTCAGAACCATTCAGACACTCCTATTCAGGAAGGTCAAGATAAAATACATAATGGGTATTTACAGAGAGTGTGGAAGATAGTGTGGATAATAGGTGAGAAATGACAGTGACTCACTTCTATTTCCTCTTCACTTCAGCAATATTCTCTATGAATGGACTCTCCATTGATCAGTGTTATGTCCTGTTTATTCTTTTTAGCATACTTCAAGAGATAAATTTAAGATTTCTTTTTCAATATCAATATTATCTGTTATCTACCTCCACTAAAATAATAGTGTATGTGTGCGTGCGCGTGTGTGTTCTTTCAGTCTAGCCTTTCTATCTCCAACACTCTGTAGTCAGAGTGGGTAGATTTGAGTTGTCAGTGAGAGAACCTTCAAGGCAGAAGGGCCTCAATTAGATACTTTTAGTTGTGTTCTGCACCCACAGAGATTTACTCAGGTGATTCTACTGTAAGTGATTGTCTATATGATAGATGTCTGTAGATGTATTAGTCCAGTATGTTACACATGATTGTAATCCCAGTATAGGCAAGAGCATCCATGCATATTGAGGCTAGCCTGATCTATATATTAAGTTCTGGGGCAGCCTACACTATATGGAGAGTGCTTGTCTCATTCAGATCATCCACACACTAAATTATGTTGTTTATTAACATGTAATTAAGAGAACTCTATATTTTCAGATTTAATCAAATTGAATTTCTCAGAAACAGAATTTTAAAAAATAAATAATTCAAAGGAATACCACTAGTGCTAAGGTAATATAAGAACTGTTAGTATTTCCTCACTACTGTAACCTTCAAGTAGAGAGAGAGTTCTTTGGAAGATCCAGATCAAACTCTGAGAAGATCAGGTAAGCCTTATGATGTTTTGCTGTATATTTTAGTTCATTTATTATTTAGGCTTCAGTTACATTTCTGATGTCAGATTTTTTTGGGTGGAAACTGAAATTATGAAAAGTTTTATACAAGACCTTATAAGTATAAGTGAGTAACTTGTCAGAAGCACACACATTGGCATTAGTAATTTCAAGTATCACTCAGTAGTCAAGTCACAGAAGCCTCATTCAGAGAGAACAAGTTATTCAAACTCTACTTTAAAGTCAAAAGACACACTTTAAATAAATAATTTCTCATTTTTTTCAGAATGAAAACATGCAGGTAATAAAAATTAAAAATATTCTAGATTAAATGCATGGACTCTGTGACCAAATTTTTGTTATGAAATCTTCTGGGGGGTGGCTAGCTCTGTGACTTTGGATAATTTGGTTGACATCTGTGTAGCTACATTTCCCCTTCTGTATGTGTAGAACTATGTTAATTCTTCCTGCATGGAATTATAAGCAAATATGTTTAACATATTACTAGTTGTTTCCTCATGCATAGTCAGATGATTTATGGCTGCAATAAAGTATTATAAGATTTAGTTAACACCATTGATGTTATTTATTTCATTAGAGTAAGTATTTGTACAAATAAGATACTTAAATGGTGCTTGGCACTTACTGACTTCTCAGTAATTAGTGTTCAGGATTGCAATAAATACTTAATTCACAAAATGAATCCTGTCTTTTTACTTCTAGCTGAATAATTATGGACAACATGAATGAATATCTGATTAACTTTAAAGGATATAATTTTGAGAAAGCTCTTGCAAACATTGAGGATTTAGAAAAGATGGAAGATTTTGAAATTAGAGATGATGATGTCTTCATCATCACGTACCCAAAATCTGGTAAGTGTCATCAATATCTCCTTTGGTTTAGTACTATGTGTGTAAAACTGGTTCCTGTATCCAAGAGCAGCAAAACCACATTTACATGAGAATTTATGATCAGATAAAATGCAAATGAAATTTTAATCTGTACAATAGAAGGCCACTTTAAGTGCATATACTGTACACTATGATGACAAGTTATGGGAATGAAATGTGCAGCATAGAGCCAAGAGCAGACATTTGTTCAGCACTGACTTGTTGCAAGAACTGATTTGTTCTTGCAGACAGGAATGATACAGTCTGAAATCTTTTCTTCTGATTGCAAATGCTTCATGACGTAGTATGAATCTTATACTGAATATCATTTACATTAAAATTTTTCCACAGAAATTGAGATCTACTTAACACAGCTTAAGAAGCATGTGTAAAATCGAGTTTTTCCTCCTTGCCCCAGGCGCAGGGAATAATGGCTCAGAGACTCAAAATATATCTACAAACACCTAGGTCATAAGCTTTGGTTAGTTCCTTGATTAGATCATAACTTAATATATCATTTATTTGAATCTAAGTTCTAGTACATGACTGGTTACCTCTATTCAACTCCCATGCTTCAGGTCTTCTCCATGTTTCTGGACTCCTTCTCCCCACCCATATGTTTTCCTTTATCTCTGTACCAGATTTCTAAACTTCTATTACTTTGGATGACATACATTTATGAACCATATGACAGTTCATTCTACATCTTCTTCATTCCATGGGAAACTTTTCCCCTAAGTTATTGTTATTATAGAACAACATAGTAAATGCAATATACAGAAAATCAGTAGCCAACATCAATCTAAATGGAGATAAACTTGAAGCAATCACACTAAAATCAGGGATTAGAGAAGGTTTCCCACTCTCTAGCTATCTATTCAATACAGTACTCAAAGTCTTAGCCAGAGCAATTAGGCAACAAAAGGAGGACAAAGGGATACAAATTGCAAAGAAAGAAACCAAAATTTCACTATTTGCAGATGATATAATAGTATACTTATGTGACCCCAAAACTTCCACCAGAAAATTCCTAAACCTGATAAACAACTTCAGCAAAGTGGCTGGATATAATATCAACTCAAACAAATCTGTAGCCTTCCTCTACTCAAAAGATAAACAGGCTGAAAAAGAAATTAGGGAAATGACACCCTTCACAATAGTCACAAATAATACAAAATACCTTGGTATGAATCTAACCAAGCAAGTGAAAGATCTGTATGACAAGAACTTCAAGTCTCTAAAGAAAGACATCGAAGAAGATCTCAGAAGATGGAAAGATCTCCCATGCTCATGGATTGGCAGGATTAATATAGTAAAAATGGTGATCTTGCTGAAAGCAATCTACAGATTCAACACAATCCCCATTAAAATTCCAACTCAATTCTTCATAGAGATAGAAAGTGCAATTTGCAAATTCATTTGGAATAACAAAAAACCTAGGATAGTGAAAACTATTCTCAACAATAAAAGAACTTCTGGAGGAATCACCATCCCTGACCTGAAAGTGTACTACAGAGCAATAGTGATAAAAATGGCATGGTATTGGCACAGAGACAGGCAAGAAGATCAATGTAATAGAATTGAAGACCCAGAAATGAACCCACACACCTATGGTCACTTGATCTTTGAAAAAGGAGCTAAAACCATCCAGTGGAAAAAGGACAGCATTTTCAACAAATCATGCTGGTTCAATTGGAGGTCAGCATGTAGAAGAATGCAAATTGACCCATCCTTATCTCCTTGTACAAAGCTGAAGTCCAAGTGGAAATAGGACCTTCACATAAAACGAGATACACTGAAAGTAATAGAAGAGACGGTAGTGAAGACCCTTGAATACCTAGGCACAGAGGAAAAGTTCCTGAACAGAACACCAATGGCTTATGCTCTAAGAGCAAGAATTGACAAATGGGACCTCATAAAATTGCAAAGCAAATTTTAAAAGTAAGGTAAAGTACACTGTCAATAGGACAAAATGGTAACCAACAGATTGGGAAAAGATCTTTACCAATCTTACATCTGATAGAGGGCTAATATCCAATATGTACAAAGAACTCAAGAAGTTAGACTACAGAGAACCAAATAACCCTATTAAAAATGGGGTACAGAGTAAAACAAAGAATTCTCAACTGAGGAAACTTGAATGGCCAAAAAGCACCTAAAGAAATGTTCAACATCCATAGTCATCAGGGAAATGCAAACCAAAACAACCCTGAGATTCCACTTCACACCAGTCAGAATGGCTAAGATCAAAAACTCAGGTGATAGTAGATGCTGGCAAGGATGTGGAGAAAGAGGAACACTTCTCCATTGTTGGTGTTACTGCAAGATGGTACAACCACTCTGGAAATCAGTCTGGCAGTTCCTCAGAAAATTGGACATAGTATTATCTGAGGATCCAGCTGTAGCACTCCTGGGCATATACCTAGAATATGCTTGAACATATAATAAGGACATATGCTCCACTATGTTCATAGCAGCCTTATTTATAATAGCCAGAAGCTTGAAAGAATCCAGATGTCCTTCAACAGAGGAATGGATACAAAATATGTGGTACATTTACACAATGGAGTATTACTCAGCTATAAAAAACAATGAATTCAAGAAATGCTTAGGTAAATGGATGGAACTAGAAAATATCATCCTGAGTGAGGTAACCCAATCACAAAAGAACACACATGGTATTCACTCACTGATAATTGGATATTAGCCCTGAAACTTGAAATATCCAAAGTCAGACCACAGACCACATGAAGCTCATGAAGATAGAAGACCAAGTGTGTGTGCTTTGGTCCTTCTTAGAAGGAGTAACAACATACTCAAGGGAACAAATATGGAGATAGAATGTGGGACAGAAACTGAAGGAGGGGCCATCTGGAGACCATTCCACCTGAGTATCCATCCCATGTGCAGTCACCAAAGGTAGATGCTGATGTGGATGTCAGGAAGTGCATACTGGCAAGAGCCTGATATACCTGTCTCCTTAGAAGTCTGCAAGAGTCTGACATAATCAGAGGTGAATGCTCACAGCTAACCATTGAACTGATCAAGGGGTTCCCAATGGAGGAGTTAGAGAGAAGACTGAAGGAGCTGAAAGGGTTTGTGGCCCCATGAGGAGACAAACAATACCAACCAATCAGAGCTCCCAGAGTCTAAACCACCAGTCTGGGAGCACTTAGGGAGAGGCCCATGGCTCCAGCTGTATATGTAAGGGAGGATGGTCTTGTCAGGCATAGGTGGGAGAGGAGGTCCTTGGTCCCGTGAAGGCTGGACGACTAGTATGGGATAATTCGAGGGTGGGGAGGTAGGAGTGGGGGGGTATGTGAGGAGGGCACATCCCCATAGAAGCAGGAGGAGGGGGATTAGATAGGGGGTTCCTGTTCAGGGTGTTGGGGTGGGGGGAGATGGGGTAAGGCGATAACATCTGAAATGTAAATAAAATATCCAATAAAAAATAACTCCAAAAAAAGAGAATATATCCTTAAGGATCTGTTAGTTTACAGTCGTTTAGGGAATGATTTGATTGTTCACACAGCCACAGTAATTGAATTTTTGTCCTGTAATTGTCCAACTCAACCATAATTCAATTGTGAGCATTAAGCTCTGCGTTCTCAGTAGTTTTATTCCATTTATACAGAGGTGTGCTATTTGGCCCTTAAAGGTCTATCAGCCTTTTTGTATTTAGCATTAACATTTTCAAAAGCTAAAGATTCAATTAAACTTTCTTTAGCAGGTGGATCTCATATTGCTCTATTTAGAGCTGTAGTTAGTCTTTGTAAAAAGATTTATTTGAACCCTGGGTTATCTCTGTATACAATTCAGTTTGTCCCTGTTGTTCAACCTTGTCCCAAACACTTAAAGCTATATTGTATGATACTGTTCCAGGACATTGTTGTAGGAGATCATCATCAAGGGTAAGCTGTACTCTTAATTCAGAATATGGACCTTTAGTTGGTAATTGATTCTTGACAATATCAATGCTTCTAGTCCTACTTTGTTGCTCCATGATTGAAGCCTCATATTTCCATGTTCTTAGCCATTTTAATTGAGGGCCAGGCCATAGAATGGCTATTACTAAGTCTCACCAATCTTTTGGAGTTATATGATTATGTGACCCAGTTACTAAATACCTGTTTCATCTATGTTGAGTGTAGGCCATAATTTGTTGTTGCCTCCTTAAATCTTTTAAAATCCTGGGCTTCTATAGTTTGCCATTTGAATTCTCAATAAGGTTTTGGGTTTCTCTCATCTCCTGATAATTTCTTTATCAGGGCTGAGAAAATCCTTTCAAGTTTCTTAACAGATATATATTTCCCTGAAGTCTTGTTACAAGATGGTGTAGTATGTTCTGATCTTGCTTCCTCTGTCTCTTAGTGTTGTTTCAATTTTATTTAGACTTATTTGTAAATTTTCAGCCTTTCCTGTTTCATTATTATCATATATTTTTAATTCTTTTGTTCATCCATTCATTGATAAATTCATTCACTTTTCATTGCAATATTTTCCCCCATCTACCATGACCCGCTTCACACAGCTTCTCCCTCTACTCCCCTGTCCCCTTCTTCTCTGAGAGATGAACTCTCTTTGCCTAGCATATCACCCTACACTGGCAGATCAATTTACTGCAAGACTAGATGCATCCTCTTCTACTGAGGCCAGACAACACATCCCAGTTAGGGAAACAGAATCCACAGGAAGGCAACAGGTTGAGGGACAACTACCACTCCAGTTGTTGTGGGACCTACATGAAGACAAAGATGCTTATCTGCTACATATGTGTGGGAAGCCTAGTTCTAGCCCATGCTCACTCTTTGGTTGGTAGTTCAGTGGCTGGGAGATTCCAAGGGTCCAGGTTAGTTGACTCTGTTCCTGTGGAGTCTCTATACTCTTTGGATTCCTCAGTTCTACTTTCAACTGTTCCATAAGACTCCTTGAGCTCCATCTAATGATAGGCTGTGGGTCTTACCATCTGCTTCCATTAGCTGCTGGTGGAGACTCTCAGAGAACTGTTATGCTAGGTTGCTGTCTACAAGAATAACAGAGTATCATTAATAGTGTCAGGAATTGGTTCTTGTCTATTTGTGTAGGTTTCAATTCTGAAAACTCATTCAGTTGGCCAATCATTCCATGTCTGTTCCATCTTTGTCTTTACATATCTTCTATGGCCAATGATTTTGTGGGTGGGTTGCTGTCCATAACACTCCACCGGGAGTATTGCTTGGCTACAGAAGGTATCCATTTCAGTCTCCATATTCCTGCACTGCTAGGTGTCTCAGGTGGAATTACTTTCAGACTCCCTTGGCTCTCCCCCTGTCCCAGGTTGCTGGCACATTCTAGAGATGACCCACTTCCCAGTGTTGATTTCTATTTTCTCTCCCCTACTCTTCCTACACCTGATCCTACTGCCCCCATTTCCTTCTTCATTTGCTCTCCAACCCAGATCCTACCATCCATCTACCTCCAATATCTATTTTATATCCCCATCTGAGAGAGATTCAGTCATCCTCTCTTGGGCCTTCCTTGTTATTTGGCTTCATTGGGTTTGTAGATTATAGCATGGTTATCTTGTATTTTATGACTTATACCCACTTATTACATACCATGCCTATCCTTTCATGTGTCTGAGTTACCTCATTTAGAATGATAATTTCTAGTTCCATCCATTTCCATGCAAAATTCTTGATGTCCTTATTTTTAAAAGCTGATTATTATTTCATTGTGTAAATGAACCAAATTTTAAAAATCCATTTTTCAGTTGCAGGATATCTGGCTTGTTTGCAGTTTCTGGCTATTATGAATATAGCTGCTATGAACATAATTGAGCAAGTGTCCTTCTGGGATGGTGGAACATCTTTTGGGTATATGCCTAGGAGTGTGATATAGGTGCATCTTGAGGTACAACTATTTTCAATTTTCTGAGACACTGACAAATTGATTTCCAGAGTGCTCATACAAGTTTGCACTCCCATCAGCAATGAAGGAGTGCTCTTTCTCCATATCCCTGTTCCTGTTCCTTGGAATGTGTGCTATTCCTTGAGTTTTTATGTTAGCCACTCTGAAGCATGTAAGATGGAATCTCAGAATCATTTTGATTTGTGTTTCCCTGATGACTAAGGACACTGAACATTCTTTAAGTTTTCTGGTCCATTAGAGATTTCTCTGTTGAGAAGTCTGTTTAACTCTGTACTGATTTTTAATTGGGTTGTCTGGATGATTGGTGTCTATCTTCTTGAGTTCTTTATATTTTTTAGATATTAACTCTGTGTCAGATATCAAGTTGGTGAAAATGTTTCACTAATTTGTAGGCCATCATTCTGTCCTTTTAGCAGTATTCTTTGTCTTACAAAAACTTTTCACTTTTATAAGGTTGCATTTATTAATTGTTGAACTTAGTGCCTGATCTATGGGTGTTCTATTCAGGAAGTTGTCTCCTACACTAATGAGTTCAAGGCTACTCCTTACTTTCTGTTCTATTAGGTTTAGTGTATCCAGTTTTCCTTTGAGGTATTTGAATCACTTGGACTTGAGTTTTGTGCAAAGTAAAAAATATGGATCTATTTGTATTCCTCTACATGCAGAATCCAGTTAGACCAGCACCATTTCTTGAACAGGCTCTTCTTTTTCCATTGTATGGTTTTGACTTCTTTGTGAAAATCGGATATCTCTAGCTATGTGGTTTAATTTCTAGGACTTCAGTTCAATTCCACTGATCAACCTGTCTGTTTCTATACCAATACCATGGAGTTTTTGTAACTATTTATCTGTAGTATAGCTTGAAGTCAGGGATGGTGATATGTAATATTTCCAGAAGTTGTTTGTTTTTGTTTGTTTGTTTGTTCAGGATTCTTTTAGCTACTCTGGGTTTTCTTGTCTTTCCATATAAAGATGAGAATTGTTCTTTCAAGATCTGTAAAGAATTGTGTTGAAATTTTTATGGGAATCCCATTGAATCTGCATATTGCTTTTAGGAAGATGTCTGTTTTCACCATGTTAACCATACCAATCCATGAACATGGAAGCTCTTTCAAACTTCTGATACTTTCTTCAATTTCCTTCTTCACAAACTTGAAGTTCTTGTCATACAGGTCCTTTGCTTGCTTGTTATAGTTACACCAAGATATTTCATATTATTTGTGGCTATTACAAAGGGAGTTTTCTCCTTAACTTCCTTCACAGTCCATTTGTCATTTGTATAAAGGAGAGCTATTGACTTCTTTGCGATAATTTTGTGTCTAGTCACTTTGCTGAAGTTGTTTATCAACTGTCAGAGTATTCTGGGATAATTTTATTTCTTTTTTGTGTATACTATCATATCATCTGTGAACTACAATATTTGGACATTTTCCTTCACAATTTGTATCCCCTTGATCTCTTTTAGTTGTCTTATTGCTCTAACTAGGACTTGAAATACTACATTGATGAACTTTAAGGAAGTCTCAGAGAAAATTACCACTGCCTGTGATGCACAGTATGAAGGGACCTAATATACAAAATGAATATATTCCTGATGATCAAGAGAAAAATGTGTCATAAGGCTCCAAACAACAGTAATATATAAATGCTACTAACCCTGGTGTAAGTTTAGCACAATATATACATGTAGGGTCTAATAAGACTGTATCTATTAACATCTACAAATAGTATCTATTCAAAGGAAATTTAGAGTACCACAAAAAGACTTTCCATGGAACATAGAATACAGAGAAAATATAGGAATAATTTGAATAATCACTATCAAGAAATGAAGACAAAAACTTCCTATACAATTCAAAATTGAAATCAGTATTGTTGTTTTTAAAAGATAATTCCAATCATTTGATTTTACCAAATGAAGACTCAAGAGCCAGATGATGGGTTGAAAGCCTGCCTAGCTTAGAGAGACAGAGAAAGAACCCAGCTGACATTCCTCCTCAATTGTCATCCCGGAAAAAGAGTCTGCTTTCTGTCTCTACACTGTCTTAAAAACACTTCAGGTCGAGTGTTCCTCTTTTGTACTTCATATGTCTCTCTATTTGACCTCTTGACTTCATCCACTCTCTGTTTTTTCCTGTGTTAACTCCATGTCAGACAGCTGCTTGTTCTGCTTGTTAAACTACTGTTGACTTTATTTAATCTTGTTTACAATTATCACAGAGCTCTAGGATTAAAGGTAGGTGCTAGGATAGAGCCACAGCACAACCAGAGACAGATTTTTCTAGTATACAATCTCACTATGTGATCAAATGTCCTGCAACATAGGGCCTCTGTTTATATCTTTCTAGTGTTATCTAACTATACAGAAAAATGAAGCAAAAACTCCCCATGTGCATTAGTATACTTGGGATATTTTTAAAAAGCATCAATGACTTTGTGATGGATGGCATTACCATGGATATTTATTATTTAAACCCACCTCAGGATTGTTATCTATTTTTACAGGTACCATCTGGACTCAGCAGATCCTCAGCTTGATTTATTATGAGGGTCACCGGAACAACACTGAAAACATATCAACAATAGATAGAGCACCGTTCTTGGAGTACAATATTTATAATTTAGACTATGCCAAAATGTCATCACCTCGCATCTTCACTTCCCACCTTCCATATTACTTAGTTCCAAAAGGTCTCAAGGAAAAAAAGGCTAAAGTATGTAAGAGAGCTTATTACTTCTTGCATAGATAAAATACTTTAATTATTGGATAATATCATTATTTCAGAATTTGTTCTTGAGCATTCTTCTACCAGTTTCCCTAGAATCCATGTCATGAATGGAACTGCAGAGCCACACATAGAAGAGTATTCAACTGAAAGAGGTGGTGTTGTACTTCTGAAGAAAATGAATAATCATGTATTTTTGAAATCAGCAAAAGATGAATTCTTATGTTTTCCTTTAGTAACTTGACACATCATGCTTAAATTTTCGTCAGTGTGGTAGTTATTGGATGATGACTCACACTGGTTTTAATGTCCATACCTGCACTGAATAATGAGATAAAATCTGTTTGATATTTATTAGCCATGATCAGTTATGATTTTGTGAAAGGGCTCTACTATCTGCCTAGATTTTTCATTACTATAACTTTAGTATAATTTTCCTCCTGAATTTGATTCTGTGACTTTTGGATACTAATATAGTTATGCTTGTGACCTATCTTATGTTTTATAAATCTTTATAATGTTGTGCTTTAATTTGATTAGAATATTCTTATTTATAATATCAATCATATTGACTTTTAAAAATATAATCTTGCCAGGCAATGGTGGCACATGTCTTTAATCCCAGCATTTGGGAGGCAGAGGCAGGTGGATTTCTGAGCTTGAGGCCAGCCGGGTCTACAGAGTGAGTTTCAGGACAGCCAGGGCTACACAGAGAAACCCTGTCTCGAAAAATAAATAAATAAAATAAACTCATCAATTAACTGTCTTCTTTATCATATTTTTATTATTTAAACCATTTTAAATTAAATGTACTTTGGCCATTTTCTACCTCTTTCCCAAGTCCTTTCAGATCCTTTCTCCATACCTAGCACCCAACCTTAAGTTCTTCTAAAAAAAAAAAACAAAACCAAAACAAAACCATAATATAATATTGAGACTCTATTTAGAACTATATCTGTTATTGATCTAATACTTGTAATATACTTGTTAATGATTATTCATTTCCCACGTCCTTCCAGATCCTCTCTCTACTCCTATCCTACCTACTTTAAGTTCTTTCTCAAAAGAAAAACCCAAATCAAAACCTATTAGCATAAGACCTCACTCAAGAAATTTTTCTTTGTTTCAAGACTAGAAATATGTTTATTTTTGGTCTAATGCTGTTAATATACTTATTAGTTATTATGCATAACAATATGAGAGAATGTTTAAAATTTATTATTAATTAATTAATTAATATGTCAAATATTGTCCCCCCTTCCAGTTCCCCCATCACAGAGTCCCTTCTCATCCTCCTTCCCCTTCTCCTCTGAGAGGGTGGCCTTCTTGGGTATCCCACAACTCAGGTGCATCAAGACCCTATAGGATTAGGCACATCTCCTACTTCAGGCAACAAAGGCCACACAATATACCAGGGGTCTGTTCAGCATATGTATGCTCTTTGGTTGGTGTCTTAGTCTCTGAAAACTTCCAAGGGTCTAGGTAAGTTGATTATGTTAGTCTTTATATGGAGTATCTATTTCATCCAGGACCTTCAATCCTTTCCACAACTCTTCTGTAAGAGTCCCTGGGATTCTTCCAATTGTTGGCTTGGGGTATCTGCATCTGCTTCAGTCAGCTGGTGGGCAGAGCCTCTCAAGAGGACAATTATACTAGGCTCCTCTCTGCAAGCATAAAAGAATATCATTAATAGTGTCAGGTGCTGGTGTTTGCTAATGGGATAGGTCTTAAGTTGAGCAAGTTCTTGGTTGGCTATTCCTTTAGTCTCTGCTCCATCTTTGTCTCTGCATTTTTTTTTAAAGATAGGACAAATTTTGGCTGGAAAACGTTGTGGGTGGGTTGGTGTCCTTATCCCTCATTGGGGTCCTGCCAGGCTATGGGAGGTAGCCTCTTCTGGTTTTATGTCCTCACTCTCCCACCAAATTCCCTTCCTCTCTCTGCTTCCTATGGCTATGTTATTCCCCCCTTCTAATTGAAACTCAAACATCCTTGATTGAGCCTTCCTTCCTTTCTAACTTCTATGAGTCTGTGGGTTATATCACAGGTATCCTGCACTTCATGGCTAATATCCAGTTATCACTGAGTACATACCATACATGTCCTTTTAAATCTGGGTTATCTCACTCAGGATGGTGTTTTCTAGTACCATACACTTGCCTGCAAAATTTATGATGCCCTTGCTTTTAATAGCTGAATAGTACTCCATTGTGTAAATGAACCACATTTTCTGCATCCAGAACCTGGGTTGTTTCCAGTTTCCTGTTATTATGAATAAAACTGGTTTAAACATAGTGGAACATGAATCTTCTGGGTATATAGTCAGAAGCTGTATCGCAAGGTCTCTAGTTAAAATTTTTTCCAGTTTTCTGAGAAACTGTAGATTGATTTCCAGAGTGGATGTACAAGTTTTTAATCCTACCAGTAATGGAGGTGTGCTCCCCTTTCTCCACATCCTCACCAGGATATGCTGTTGCTTGAGTTTTTGATCTTAGTCATTCTGATTGTTGTAAGGTGAAATCTCAGGATCATTTTGATTTGCAATTTCCTTGATGGCTAAAGATGTCAAACATTTATTTAAGTGCTTCTCAGTCGTTGAGGTTCCTCTGTTGAGAATTTTCTTTTTAGTGCTGTATCCTATTTTTAATTTGTGTGTGGTTTTTTTTGGTTTGTTGGAGTCTAACTTCTTTAGTTCTTTATATATTTTTGGATATTAGCTCTCTGTCAGTTGTAGAGCCAGTGAAAATCTTTTTCCAACTTGTAGGTTGCCATTTTGTCCTGTTGACATTGTCCTTTGCCTTACAGGATCTTTTCAGTTTCATGAGGTCTCATTTATCAATTGTTGATTTTAGAGCCTGAGACATTGATATTCTGTTCAGGAAATTGTCTCTTATACAAATGCATTCAAGGCTATGTCCCACTTTTTCTTCTATGAGATTGAGTGTATCCAGTTTTATTTTAAGGTCCTTGATCCACTTGGACTTGAATTTTATGCAGGGTGATAAATATGAATCTACTTGTATTTTTATACATGCAGACATCCAGTTAGACCAGCACTATTTCTTTGAGATGCTTTTTTTTTTTTCTGCCAATGTATGATTTTGGCTTCTTTGTCAAAGATCAAATGTCCATAGGTGTGTGGGTTTATTTCTGGGTCTTCCATTCAATTTCATTGACCAACCTCTTTGTTTCTATGCAGACACAATGCAGTTTTTATAACTATTGTTTTATAATACAGCTGGAAATCAGTCATGATGATGCCTCCAGAAGTTCTCTTATTGTTCAGGATTAATTTAGCTATCCTGGGTTTTTTGCTTTTCCCTATGAAGTTGAGAATTCCTCTTTCAAAGTTTTTAAAGAATTGTGCTGGAATTCTGATGGGAATTCCATTGAAACTGTAGATTTGGCTTTTAGTTAAGATGGCCATTTTCAGAATGTTAATCCTACTGATCCATAAGCATGAGCTCTCTTCCTATCTTCTGAAATCTTCTTCGGTTTCTATCTTCAGGGACTTAAAGTTCTTTTCATGCTGAACTTTCACTTGTTTGATTGCAGTTACAAGATATTTCATATTATTTGTGGCTATTATGAAGGATATTCCTTCCCAATTTCTTTCTCAGCCCATTTATCACTTGTGTAAAGGAGGGCTACTAATTTCTTTGAGTTAATTTTATAACCAGCCACTTTGCTGAAGTTGTTTATCAGCTGTAGGTATTTTCTGGTAGATTTTTGGGGGTTGCTTATGTATACTATCCATATCATGCATAAATGGTGATACCTTGACTTCTTTCTTTCCAATTTGTTCCCCCCTTGATCTCCTTTTGTTGTTTTATAGCTCTAGCTAGAATTTCAATCAGTATATTGAATAAATAGGGAGAGAGTAGGCAGCCTTGTCTTGTCATGATTTAGTGGGATAGCTTTATGTTTCTCTACATTTAATTTCATGTTTGATATTAATACTTGTTGTATTTAGCTTTTATTATGCTTAGGTATGTGTTTTGTATCCCTGATCTGTCTAAGACTTTTAACATGAAGTAGAGTTGGATTTTGTTGAAGTATTTTCAGCATCTAGTGAGATGATGATGTGATTTTTTCCTTTCAATTTATTTATATAGTGCGTTATGTTGATAGATTTTCATATATTGAACCATCCCTGTATTCCTGGAATAAAGCCTGCTTGATCATGGTGAATGATATTTTTGATGTGTTCTTGGATTTGGTTTGCAAGAATTTTATTGAGTATTTTGACATTGATGGTCATGAAATTTTCTTTGTTGAATCTTTTTGTGGTTCAATTATCAGGGTGAATGTGGCCTTATGGAATTAGTTAGCCAGTGTTCCTTCTGTTTTTATTTTGTGGAATAGTTTGACGAGTATTGGTATTTGCTCTTCTTTGAATGTCTGGTAAGATTCTGTGCTAAAACTATCTGGCCTTGGACTTGTTTTGATTGGGAGATTTTTAAATGGCTGCTTTTATTTCTTCAGGGGTTATAAGATGGCATAGTTTACCAGATCTTGATTTAATTTTGGTAAGTTGCGTCTGTTTTGTGCATTTAGTGTTTTCATTTTATTTTGTTGCAGGAGTATTTTCTTTTCTGGTCCAATTTATTTGGTGTTCTGCAAGCCTCTTGTATGCTTATAACCATCTCCTTCTTTAAGTTAGGGAGTTTTTTTGGTCTATGATTTTGTTGAAGATATTTTCTGGCCCTTTAGACTGGGAATCTTCACCCTCTTTTAGTCCTATTGTTCTTAGGTTTGGTCTTTTCTTAGTGTCTCAAATTTCCTGGATGTTTTGTGTTAGAAACTTTTTACTGTTTCATCTTCATGACATAATTTTTACTCTTTCATCTTCATGACATACGATTCAAGGTCTTGCTCTTCAGGTGTGTTAGGACATCCGGGGCTTACTGTAGTAGGAGAGCTAGCTTCTGATGGTGTCATATTACACTAGCACTTGTTGATTGTGTTCTTGTAATTTGGGGCATTTTCTTTGACCAATGTATCATTTTCTTCTATGGTATCTTCTACACCTGAGATTTTCTCTTCCATCTCTTATATTCTGCTGGTGATGTTTGAGTCTGTAATTCCTGTTTGATTTCCTAGGTGTTCCATCTCCATGGTTGCCTCTGTTAGTGCTTTCTTTATAGGTATTATTTCCATTTTTTATGTCTTGGACTGTTTTATTCATTTCCTTCACCTGTTTGATTACATTTCTTTAAGAGATTTAGTTGTTTCTATCTGTTTGATTATGTTTTCCTGTGGGTTTTTTTGTTTTGTTTTGTTTGTTTTTCAAGACAGGGTTTCTCTGTGTAGCTCTGGCTGTCTTGGGACTCACTCTGTAGACCAGGCTGACCTCGAACTCAGAAATCTGCCTGCCTCTGCCCCCCAAGTGCTGGGATTAAAGGCATGCACCACCACCACTGGCCTGTGTTTCTTTAAGATATGTATTTATATCCTCTTTAAAGGCCTCCATCATCTTCATGAAATGTGATTTAAGGTTAAAATCTTGCTTTTTAGGTGTGTTATAGCATCCAGGGCTTGCAGGGTTCTGATGATGCCCCCATTGCACTGGCTTCTGTTGATTATGTTCTTGCACTTGCCTTTCAACATCTGGTTGTTTCTGGTGTTGGCTGGTCTGGTAGTCTCTCTGGGAGTAGTAAGCCTCTGGGATTGGTTGTCCCAGATAGCTGCAGGCTTTTCTGGATGTAGGCAGCACTGTGGGATGGTATGTGGGTTACTGATCCATGATTGTAGGTGGAGGTCTGGGTGGGAAAGAAGATGGAACTCCCAAGAATTTTCTTTCTGTATGTGGGTACAGTTGATGCTTGTACCAAGATAATACTTCATTTTATAATATTTTCTACTTATTTCCAGTGCTACCTTCACTGTATATCAAATATCTCACATAACTCAATGTCATTTGATATAGCCTTAAAAAATGTGCTTACTTTGTTTACCAACTTTACAAATAATATAAGTTCTAGAAAGCTGAATTATTTTCTTGTACAAATATCAAATACTATGTAAATAAAAGCATTCATGTTTTATAGTATGAAACAAGTTCATAACTAACAAAACTTTCATAACTATTACCTGGATGAATATAAAGATGTCTTTAGAAAATGAATTATATAGTTGTTCAGAACTTATTAGGATAACTAAGAATTAGTAAAGCAACTTTCTGGTTTTTTTCTGCAGATTCTTTATATTTACAGAAATCCCAAAGATGTTTTGATCTCATTTTTTCATTTTTCAAATTGGGTGGTTACCCTTGAAGCTACAGATACCATAGACCATTATCTGGAAAAATTTCTAGATGGAAAAGGTAACAACATTTATCCCTATCACTAATATAAAAAGGAGAGATGACACTTGAACCATCTCAATGTAGGGAACATTTAGCAAAGAGATCGGGGGGCCAGTGTGATGCATATATAGAGTAATAATAATTTTGACCAACCCAACCTAGTACAGAACAATTTTTCAGCCATTGGTAGGACTATGTGACAGCTGTTAACTTTACAATGCTGTGTTAAATAGGAGATATTTTGTAAGACCATAGATGTTTACAAATACTTTATTCATTTTTCCCCTAGCTTATGGCATAGGAAGAGTCAAAAAGTTAAAAAGAGTCAAAGAGCTAAAGTTGAGAATGAATGTGTGCTCTGCATGGCATACACTTGGAAGAATACTGAGTTTTTCATTTTTCCTTTAACTGGAAATCAACAATGAATAATCTGGAAGCTGTATTTCTTAACCAGCTAATTCCTCAAAAACCTCACAGAAAGACTAAGATTCATTAAAATTGCCTTGAGCAAACTACTGAGCAATTATTACTCCATTCTAAAACTCCAAATTAGTCAGGTTTCCTCCCAGACTATATTCCTAGCTTACTTGAAATTTACCATCCTTTCTTGATTCCATTCTCTTCTCTACATGGTTTATCCACTTCTCCGGTAGCTCCTTCCTCTTCTCCTCTTTCTGTTTCTAAGCTTCTTAGAATCAGAAGTCCCACCTATTCTGTTTCTAAAGCTTTGTACTGGCTAAGAAGATTTTATTGGCAAGGTAGAGAATGAAAGAAGGAAAGTTCATGCAAATTTGATATAGGAGCTTCTAAGAATTAACATAACAAAGCCATATTTAACTAACACAAGAGTAAATTTTACACAGTATTTGAAAATACTATGCCTACACAAATAATTTTTTTAAAGTAGCAATATAGACATTCAATTATATGGGTTTCATTTTATTTCCCGACAGTCTAAAGAAGAAAAGAAAAAAAAAATCGAGTTTTGTGTTCAGAATGCAATAGTGCCTTTACTTTGGTCCTCAGTAACTTGTCCTTCAGTTGTAGGGAGCCGTTGGTTTGATCACATTAGAGGCTGGTATGAGCACAGACATGACTTCAATATAATGTTCCTGAGCTATGAAGATTTGAAAAAGGTAAGATGTCTTTGAGTTTAAACCACACACTACCAGCTATCCTCATACCTTGCTGCTCTTTGGTCTTCCTGTTGAAGGAGATTCCTGACACCCAGGTCCTCTTTATTGACTGGTGTATTTCTGGACTCTCTTCTCTATGTAGCCATCCCTTGGGATTTCTACTAGTGTCAATCAAGACAATCTTATGTATTTAGTGTAGACTTGCCTTTTTAAGTAATTATCAACCTTCATTTGTATTAGTAGATTTGGTGTGGTATTTCCATCTATGAACATAGCATGCATTGGCAATCACTCTCTTACACTTTCACCCTTTCTTTGCTCAGGACTCTTCGTAATTCCTAGTAATCATAGTTCAACATTAAAGTTACAAGTTTTTTTGTTGCTTTTTGTTTTCCTACATGAGAGAGAGATGTGGCAACTATTTCTCTGCATTGACTGGTTTCACTTAATCTGGTGTTTTAAGGTTCATCTATTTTCATCAACAGGTTTTTACCTTTGTGTATTTTTAAATAAAACTCATATATAGGTATATATATTGCATTTTTATTCTTTTCTCTATCAAGCAATTTCATGCCTTGACTATAGAGAAAGTGGGACAACATTGGATGCTAATAAGGATTTGGAATGGTGATGCTATTTCATTGGCTATATAACTAGTAACATGGTCACTGATCATATGGTGGGCTATTTTTAGTTATGAAGATCTACACTGTTTTCCATGGTTTATTCCCTCAATGTCTCATCTGGTATGTTACATCAAATATCTAGCTTTTTGGTTGTTTTGTTTGTTTCTATGCTGGTGATTGAAATCAGAGTTTCATACAAATGTTCTACTAACATAAATTCCCAGCCAGAAGCAAGGGTTTTGGACAATTTTTAATTTTATATTTTATCTCCTTGAATGTAATACCCAGAGTTATGTTGAAATTTTTCAGTATTTTTAACATGTATTTCTATTTCTATCATCATATTTTCTATTTCTTCTTGACCATGTTGCCTTACTTTTTATGTCCCTTAATGTTCATTGTGCAACAAATTATTTGTAGAAATAAGTTAATTGCTATGACATAGTTATCATATGGGCCATATAACTTTCTTTCACATGATCGCTTACAAATAAAAAGACATAAGGCAGCAACCAGCCCTTCCTTTAGAAAGTCCTTCCTTTTTTCCCAACAGTGATCAACTTTGTGTTATGGGAGAATATTGTGGGTCAATCTGTCTAAAGCTTAGTAGTTCTTCTCATATGGAAAACATTTTAAGTTCCTCTGCACTGATGTTTGTTGTATACTCAGAAAGGAAATAGAAACATTTAAAGACATCTCTTCTCATCATGAAAAATTAAACTCTCTGAGAACAAATTAGAAGATCTTCTCTTTTTCTTGCCACTTTTCCATTGAACTGCAACTCCTCATTCCCTCATCTTGGTGTCTGCAAACCCTCTATTAACTTGCCATCATGCTTCACTTCAAAGGAAAACAGTTTTCTCCTTTTTACCTTCTTTTCTTAAATTTATTTTCTACTAAGTTCTTAGGTTGGAATACCCAAACACTTTTATTTACACCATCACATTTTCTCATTTCTTGTCCTTCTCCTCCCCCAGTCCTTAAATCATCATTTTCCTCTAGCTAGTTCCATTTTGTTCTCCAGTCAGTCCTGCCACCCCTGCTTGCTTTCTTACTATGTGTGTTCAATAACCACCTTTGTGGTTTGTAAAAAGGCATAAGAATGGGTGTCTTTGCATTCTTCTACATGCTGACCTCCAGTTGAACGAGCACCATTTGCTGAAAATGCTGTCTTTTTTCCACTCAATGGTGTTAGCTCTTTTGTGAAACAAAGATCAAGTGACCATATAGGTGTGTGATTGGGTCTTCAGTTCTATTCCATTGATCTACCTCCTTTTCTCTGTAATAATATCATGCAGTTTTTTCAGTATTGCTTTGTAATACAGCTTAAGGATGGTGATTCTCCCAGAAGTTATTTTATTGATGAGAATAGTTCTCACTATCCTGGTTTTTTTTGTTATTCCAAATGAATTTGAGAATTGCTCTTTCTAACTCCATGAAATATTGAGTTGGAATATTCATGGGGATTGTATTGAATCAATGATCAGTAAGATGACCATTTTCACTATATTAATTCTGCCTATCCATGAGCATGGGCAATCTTTCCATCTTCTGAGATCATCTTCAATTTCTTTCTTCAGAGAATTGACATTCTTGTCATACATATCCTACTTTTGTTTGGTTAGAGTCACACCAAGATATTTTATATTATTTGTTACTTTCATGAAGTGTGTCTTTTCTCTAATTTCTTTCTCAGCCTGTTTATCCTTTGAGTAGAGGAAGGCTACTGATTTGTTTGAATTAATTTTATATCCAGCCACTTTGCTGAAGTTGCTTATAGGGTTTAGTAGTTCTCTGGTGGAATTTTTGGAATCACTTAAGTATACTAACATAACATCTTCAAATAGTGATATTTTAACTATCCAATTTGTATCCTTTTGACCTCCTTTTGTTGTCTAATTGCTTTAGCTAGAACTTCAATTACTATATTGAATAGATAGGGAGATAGTGGGCAGCTTTGTCTAGTCCTTGATTTTTATGAGTTTGCTTGAAGTATCTATCCATTAAGTTTGATGTTGGCTACCGGTTTGCTGTATTTATTATATTTAGGCATGGGCCTTGAATTATGGATCTTTCCAAGATTTTTAACATGAAGGGATGTTGAATTTTGTCAACTGCTTTTTCAGCATCTAATGAAATGATTGTATGGTTTATTTCTTTGAGTTTGTTTATGTAGTCGATTACATTGATGGATTTCCATATATTGAACCATCCCTGCATTGGGATGAAGTCTACTTAATTGTGGTGAATGATCACTTTGATGTGTTCCTGTATTTGGTTTCAGAGAATTTTATTAAGTATTTTAGCATCGATGTTCATAAGGGAAACTGGTTTGAAGTTCTCTTTCTTTGTTGGGTCTTTGTATTGTTTAGGTATAAGTGTAATTGTGGTTTCATAAAATGAATTGGGCAGTGTTCCTTCTGTTTCGACTTTGTAAAATAGTTTGAAGAGTATTAGTATTTGGTCTTCTTTGAAGGTCTGATAGAATTCTGCACTAAACCTATCTCGTCCTGGGCTTTTTTTTGGTTGGGAGACTTTTAAGGAATGTTTTTATTTCTTTGGGGTTATAGGACTGTTAAGATGGTTTATCTGATCCTGATTTAACTTTGGCACCTGGTATCTGTCTAGAAAATTGTCCGTTTTATCCAGATTTCCCAATTTGGCTGAGTACAGGCTTTTGTAGTAGGAGCGGATAATTTTTGGAATTTTCTCAATTTCTGATGTTATGTCTCCTTTTTCATTTCTGATTTTATTAATTTGGATACTGTCTCTGTGCCCTCTGGTTAGTCTAGCTATTGGTTTATCTATCATGTTGATTTTCTCAAAGAACCAGCTCCTGGTTTTGTTGATTCTTTGTGTAGTTCTTTTTGTTTCTACTTTGTTAATTTCAGTCCTGAGTGTGATTATTTCCTGACTTCTACTCCTCGTGAGTGTATTTCCTTCTTTTGGTTTTAGAGCTTTCAGGTGTACTGTCAAGCTGCTAGTGAATGCTCTGAACGATTTCTTTTTGGAGGCACTTATAGCTATGAGTTTTCTTCTTAGCCCTGCTTTCATTGTGTCTCATAAGTTTTAGTATGTTGTGCCTTCATTTTCATTAAATTCTAAAAAAGTCTTTAATTTCTTCCTTCCCTTCCTTCCTTCCTTCCTTCCTTCCTTCCTTCCTTCCTTCCTTCCTTCCTTCTTTCTTTCTTTCTTTCTTTCTTTCTTTCTTTCTTTCTTTCTTTCTTTCTTTCTTTCTTCCTTTATCAAGTTATCAATGAATAGAGTGTCGTTCAGCTTCCATGTGTATGTAGACTTTCTGGTGTTTTTGTTGTTATTGAAGATCAGCTTTAGTCCATGGTGATCTGATAGGATGCATGGGATTATTTCAATGATCTTGTATGTGTTGAGGTCTGTTTTGTGACCAATTATATAGACAATTTTGGAGACGGTACCATGAGGTGCTGAGAAGAAGGTATATTGTTTTGTTTTAGGATGAAATGTTCTATAGATGTCTATTAAATCCATTTGACTCATAACTTCTATTAGTTTCACATTGTCTCTATTTAGTTTCTGTTTCCATGATCTGTCCATTGATGAGAGTGGCTGTTGGTGTCTCCTACTGTTATTGTGTGAGATTCAATGTGTGCTTTGAGCTTTTGTAAAGTTTTTTTTATGAATGTGGGTCCCCTTGCATTTGGAGCATAGATGTTCAGAATTGAGACTTCATCTTGGTAGATTTTTTTCACAAGTATGAAGTGTCCTTCCTTATATTTTTTGATAACTTTTTATTGAAAGTCAGTTTTATTCAATATTAGAATGTCTACTCCAGGTTGTTTCTTGAGATTATGTGCTTGGAAAATTGTTTTCCAGCCTTTTGCTCTGAGGCAGTATCTGTCTTTGTTATTAAGGTGCATTTCTTGTATGCAGCAAAATTCTGGGTCCTGTTTACGTATTCAGTTCATTAGTCTATGTCTTTTTATTGGGGAATTGAGTCCATTGATGTTAAAAGATATTTTAGAAAAGTAATTGTTGATTCCTGCTGTTTTTGTTGTAAGAGGTGGAATTATGCCTGTGTGGCTATCTTCTTTTGACTGTTGATAGAAGATTACTTTCTTGCTTTTTTTAGGGTGTAGTTTCCCTCCTTGTGTTAAAGTTTTCCTTCTATTATCCTTTGTCGGGCTGGATTTTTGGAAAGATATTGTGTAAATTTGGTTTTGTCATGGAATACCTTGGTTTCTCTATCTCTGGTAACTGAGAGTTTTGCTGGGTATAATAGCCTGAGCTAGCATTTGGGTTCTCTTAGGGTCTATATGACATCTGCCTATGATCTTCTGGCTTTTACAGTCTTTTGTGAGGAGTTTGATGTAATGCTGATGGTGTGTTTCTTTATAT